TTAATTCAAACAATAAAACTTTATTATAAATGAAATTTGTTGTATTTCGAGCGACAGTGTTATACGGCCTAGTTAAGCTAAAAGTCTAAAACTACATTTGCCAGAATTTTGCATTTTTCTTCAATTTTTTCATTATAAAAATTATTTCCACATTGTTTTACATGGAAATCGTTTTAATTTTAATTATTAATATTTTCAATATTTGATATTTTTCCGAAATTGTAAAAATTTTTTTATGTGTTAAAAGATCTCCCTTTTGTTCCGATACGAAAATTTATTTCCAAAAATATAGGTACCATTTCGTGCTCTATATACGAAATTTATTAAAGCTGATTTTCTTCTTGAAGAGCAAAATGTTAAAACATTAACAATTAAATCAATCGCTAACTTTTATTTCAATAAAAAAAAAATAGTTTTTTAATCTTAATTATTATGAACAATAAATACTAACGCCTGAGTATATGCGATTTTTGCTATGCAATACTAATTTAGATATTTTTGATGAGTAATTTTATGTTTTAACATATTAACACGTAGTTATGCGTGCTAGAATGAAGATTTATTCATTAGAATTTTTTATTAGAAAATATTAGTTAGAAATAAATGAAATTCATATTGTAGGATAATGAATTTTAATAATGAAAGGAATAGCAAAATTAATCAAAAATTTTCTATACCACATTGTCCGAATATATTCGGAAAGTAGAAAGAAATTTGGTAAGCTCAAATTTTTTTAAATAATATTTATAAAAATGTTTTAATATTAGAGATCACTTATTTTGTAATTAAAAATTTTGCAATAATCTTAATGGAAGGTTCTTTCTGAAATATTTTCAATATTTTCCATATGATTAAATTTCGTAAAATCATAAAAAACGATTAAAAAAAATATATTTTTTTTATATAATGATTATGATACAAACACACAAAGAGAAAAATGATTCAAGATTTTATTTTTTCTATTTAAAATGTGTGATAAATTTTCAAAGGTGTTCATAATTTGAAATGTATATAGATGCAAAAGTATAAAGTGATTGTAATATTAATATTAGTATTTAAATAAAAATTTTGAATAAAATATTTTGTTTATATTTTGAATGGAGGAAAATTTTGTTGTGATTGCAGTAATATGTCGTTTCTCAAATTACTGTTGTGTTTTTTTTAAATATTTTAAAAGTGTAAGTAAATATTTTGAAAGTTCCTCTTTTGTATAATATTATATTTGTGTAAATTTAATTAGAATTTATTTAATATACTTTGTATTTTATTGAATTAAAAGTTTAATAAAGTTTTAATATGTTAGAAAATTAAATATAATCTGTTTGAATTAAAAAAAAAAATTAATAAAAAGTATATAATTATTTGAAAAAAAGTTTTAAAGTATTTAACTTTAATAAATCGTATAAATGTATTGTAATTAATTATTATATATAATATATAAAGTGTAATTACAGTATATAAGTGTAATTAAAGAATAAAGATTAGTATTTTGAGTAATTTATTATCGAAAATTTTGTAAATTTAATGGTACATAAAATTTTAATTAAATAATTATATTTTTAGTAGAAATTAATGCGAATACAAAAAATTAAGAGAAAAATTTTATTTATTAAACTATAATATATGAAAATAAAAATTATTATTTTAATTAAATAAAATATAAAAATTTTAGGGAATTAAATTAAAATATATATTTATGGTGGGAAACAACGAGTATACTATTTTTAATTTAAAAAATTCAGTTTTACTTAGGAATTAAGTTTAATAAAAGTTCCATATTTGTATCGTCTAATTTTTACGGATTTGGGATTTGTTTGCCCAATAACAGAGGAATAAGATTTCTTTTCGAGAACTTTACTTTGAAATTAGCTATTTATTCGTTTTGATTCAGATATCTTTGATTTGGCAATATCCATTACTTTTCAAAATATGTAAATTTTGCACACTTTTAGGGGCGCGAAAAAAAATTTTAATATACAGTATGTGGAAGCAGTGCTCATATTAATTTGTACTACTATTTGTTAGTTAATATTTGAGCAGAAACGCTCTAGCAGTTAGAAAATAAAGAAATAATTAATTTGATAATATTTTGTTTTGTGAAATTATATATTTTTTGGAATTTTTTGGGACTTTTGTACTAAATTTACATATCGAGAGCTTAATTCGATACAATTGAATTAAAACACCAATAATATTAAGTTTTAGTTTAGAAAATGGATAAAATGAAAAAAATATTTTAAGTGATAATTTCGTTTTATTAAATTAAGAAATATCAAAAACATTTTTTAATAAAAATATTAAAATTAATGAAAAATGTTTCTTGTAATAATCTTGTTAATCATTTTTAATAATTAATGTATACATTTTAGAATACCTCAATTAGGTGTGGAAAAATGCTGTTAATATTATGTTTAATGCTGTTATTGTAGATTTGTTTGAATTTGTTAAAACAAAAATGTTAAATATGTTTATATGAACGAATATTGTATTAATTGAAAATTATTTTGTTAGTTAAATAATTTATAAATAATTATATGAAAATATTAATATAGATAGAGAATATTTTATGCAATAAATAAAAAAGAAGAGGAAAAATTTTAATAGATAATATAATTAAAATTATGGGATCACAATAATAAGAAATGTGTGAATAACATGCAATTCTTAATAATATGAATTCAATTTTAAATATTATAAATAAATATATAGATTTTTTTATTTATATATACAAATTATTCTCGAATAGCAATGTTCATTTATTTCTGATTAACCCAAATTTGTACAAACTGTATTTTAGTTCAAAAAGGTTTGTGTAATTTTTGATTTATTAATATACCTTGAAACAGTAGAATTAATATTGATTAATGTTAGAATCGAATTGCTTTGGTTAATTTTGAGTGTATTCTATTCAAAAGTCACTTGTATTTTTAGATTAATGCAAATAGAATAATCTTCCTTATGTATATATATATTAAAAATTTTCAGAGATTCTATTAATTTTAAGTATAGTTTGGGAAATTTATTTAAAAAAATTTGAATTAAAAGTTATTTAATGAATTCTTAAAAGTATTATAAAATTCATTTTTTGTTTTTTTACTAGTTATATCATCTTCAATAAAATATTTGATTATCTAAGGTTTGACAACAATACTTATGTTTGTGTAAATGAAAACTGTACTATTTAAATTAAATTACGTAAAGTTACGTAAATGAGTGAAAATATTTAAATTCTTTGAAAACTCGAGAGCGAGAAAACCTGTGAAAATAAATTGAAAGGAAATAATCCTAGCGTTTTTGATAAAAAATTGGAATAGATGGAATTTGAAAAAACTTTATATTGTTAAGATTAATTTAAAATAAAACAAGTGGTCTGACTCCAAGTATAATAACGCATTTTTTGTAAAATTTCATTAAAAATTTCGAAACCCCATGTGATTATCTCATTCTTTCCTCTAACATATCAATTTTGAAAATAATGTGTGATCAAATTTAGTTTTGAATAATTATAGGGTCTACAGTTCTATGGAACGATAAAATAACTTTAACTTAATTTCAACATCAAAAAACTTTGCTATTCGAACGAAATTTGTTTATATATATGTAAATAAAAATAAATAAAATAAAATTTAATAAAAAGGAAATGATTTTTGTCTAAAATTATTTTAGGAAAATTATTTTTAATGATTATATTAATTTTTTTGTGTAAATAAATAAGGTGTGATTTTGAGAGCAAAAAAATTTTTCTTATTACAGTTTTAATGAATGTTAATTTTTATTTAAAGAATGTATAATAAAATTTATATTTTATTTTGTATATATGTTTGTGTTTCGATTATATTGTATATATGTAGTTATTTGAAATTTTTATTTTAAAATAATTAGAAAAAAAAATTCTATTTGTATTTTTTAATACTATGTGTTTTATGTAATAAAATGTTTACTAGATAAGAGTTTAGAAAAAAAAAATAAGTAAAATAAAAGTTTTTATTGTTTTAATTGTTTTTTTTTCTGACTTTGATCGAAATTTCATGCAATTTTAATATCTTATAATTCTTTGTTTACCATAAGTGTTGTAATTTCTTTTTATTATTTTACTAACATTTTTCACTTATATTGAAAATTCAAAAAAAAAAATAAGAAAATGAAAATTATGGCAAAATGACAAAAATAAAAATACTTTTTATATGATATCTTATTTGTTTATAATGTTTTTGTATATATGTTTTTTGTCTATTTCTGTGCCGGTAAGTGGCAACAAGGAAAGCCAACCAAAATCGTAATTCGACGATTAGTTTCGACAAAATCCAGCATTTTCAAATTTCATTTATTGCTTGTGTAACCCTGTTATTTGATTTTTTTTTAAATTACGAAAATTTTTAAAATATTTTTAAGTAAAATATTTTACACATTAAAATTGTCCGAATTGAACCAAATTTCACTGTATTCACTGTATAGATGGAAAATTTAAATATATTGCAGTATTTTAATAACATACGTAATCGATTTAAGCGAGTTTCCCTTGTTGCCACAGAATTATATATTTTTTTTAATAATATAGTGGAAAATATTTTATAATTTTTTTTTTAAATTTTATTTAAATATAAATAACAAAAAATATGTATAATATTATATAAATATGTATATATTTTTCAAAATTGAATTTAATGAAATAGAGAGAGAGAGAGAGAAAGAAAGAAATGAAAAAAAAATCGAGTGTACATATATTTTTTATTTTTATTTGAATCCATATGTAAAATAAAAAAAAAACATTTAATTATTATGTAATTATTTTTTTTGGTTTCTATTTTATTTTTTTTAAAAAATAAATTTTAATTAAAATTGTTTTTTCATTATAAAAATTTTTTAATGTAATATGATTATATTTTTATTTTTAAAAATAAATTACAATATTATATAATTAAAAAATTTGCAAAATATTTTATTAATATTATAAATTTATTGTGAAAAAAAATATTGAATTGAAAATAGAAAATTCTTACCTAATAGAGGCACAGCATCTGAAGTGGCCGGCATTGTTTCGGCCACCATATTAAGGAAGACGGTTAAAGATAACAAAATGGTTACTCCTAAATGTATAGAAATATATAAAAATATTCATAAAGAAAAAACAAAGAAAAAAAAAATTTACGATAAAAAGAGAGAAAAAGAAAATATTCCTTTCTCTTTTACAAAAATTTTTTTTTCTTGTTTTTTAAAAAATATTAATAAATTATTAAAAATTTTTAATACAAAACATTTATAAGAAAAATATTTTTATAAGATTAAAATATTTTTGTTTTTTGCAATTGTACTAGTAATCAAAAAGAAAAAAAATAAAAATACACAATTATTTCTATTAGTGAATACACACACACATAAATGTACAAACAGTGATTTTAATTTGTTTTTTTTTTTGGGAAATTGTTGAAGGAAACTTTCATCTATTTATATTAGGTGGAGCTTTAACAAAAACTAAAGGGTAAATTATTAGCCTACAAAATATTTTCTAATGCTTAATGCTTTTTATATGCTACACGTATAATAAATAATATATTTTGAAAATTTATTCACCACTATGAAAATTTCTTTTGAATTTTAGAAAATTTCATTGTAATGTTTTTTTTTTTAATGAGAAATTTTGTAGCATATCAATAATTGTTTTAGCAAATTCTATAATTTTGCATATTTTTAGGTAAAAAAAGGGTGCATATACAAAAATATTAAATAAAAAACATTCCCATAGTTATTAATTTCTACTACTTTTCCGGTTGCTTCCTTTTTCCTTTATAATTCTTGGAATTTTATAAATTTAAATGCTAAATAATATTAAATGAAAATTTGAATTTTGTCAAAAGCAAGGACCATTGCAAGATGATTCAAAGGCTATATGACGATTTTCGATAATTAAATTCACATAATTTATTACATTTCCCGATGCACTAAAAGTTACTAAATTTGAACAGTATAAGAATAATCATGGTATAAAACAGTACTAACAGAATTGAAATTATAATCTTTCTTCAGTCAATCTAGTGTAATTACATTTTAGTAAAAGATCTATCATATATAAACAGATATTCGGTATAAAGACTTTGAAAATTTCCTTTAACAATTTTTTTTAATAAAAATTATTTTACAAATATAATGATATTTTTGATAATTATATAACAATAATATAACAATAATAATTAATATAAAGACGGTGTTATTAAAAGAAATATATATATATATATATTTATATTGTAGAAAAATAATTGAAGTTTATCCAGGTTGTTGTTAGTAACATGGTAGAAAATTGATCATCATCCCTTGTGCTTGTTGTTGTAGTTGTTGATGTTGTAGGAGGTAGTTATGTTTTTTTTTTTTGATTTTTTGATAGGTGAAACTTTGTTTTTTAAACTTTTCAACATTTTAAAATTTTTTTCTTTTCTAGAGGAAAATTTCATGTTTCTTGTAAGTTTAAAAAACAAGGTTTCTACATTTTTTTTTGTATTTTTTTTCTAATATGGTATAGGTGGGTATAGATGATTGCGGCTCAAAATTTTTATAAATGTTAGTTTATTATATTTTGCTGTTGTGGTTGTTGTTGTAGTTGTAGTTGTAGTTTTTAATTGGACTGTTACATTTTTTATATAGTTTTTTATGTACAAGGGTGGTATTCAGAAAAAAGAAACTTTTTTTTTTTAAAATTTTTTTTAGTTTTAAAACTTATTTTTAAAACTTTATTTTTTTTTATAATATATATTTTTAAAAATGCATATAAAGAGGAAAAAAGCGGTCAAAATAGAAATTAGGTAAATTAATTTTTCTTTTTAGAGTTATTTTTGTATATTTTTTTTTTGTAATATATTTCGTTAGATATAAGAGTTTAAAAGTGCGGATCTTGTTATTATGGTGTATAAAAATGCCATTTTGAAAGCATAGTAAAAATGTCAACACTATAATAATACAAACTAAGATATAGTCTGGAAAATATCTGAAACTTTTTAGAATTTTTATAAAAATTTAAAGAAAATATTTGATAAAATTTTTGGGAAACACGCAAAATTTCTCAAAATTTAATAATTTTGCTTGTTTAATTCGGTTTAAGCACCTTGTGTGGGCTATTTCGTGATAGTGCACGGCAGATACAAAAATAGATGAGTCTAAGTTGATTTTATGACTTAGCCAGTGTTATGGATTTAATCAGATTTTTTTAATAGCACAAATATCTGATATAAAATTATTTATAAGTTTTCATATTATATATTCTAAGAAAACAGTAATGTAATAAAAAAATTAAATGGAATTAAAAATTCTAGTACTCAGATATCTTAATAATCGGAAGAAATAAATAAAAAATGATATTTTAGGAGAATTTTAGAAAAAGCAATTAAAGGCTTTAAGCTAGTCAATTTGATATAATTGAGTATAATTAATAATATAGTACCGCATAAGGTACAAAATACTGCATATTTATGCTATAGCCAATAACAACAACAATTATATTATATATTATAGTGTTTTCGTCGCTGTCTAAGTTCTTGTCTAAGTTTGCATTATAAGTGTTGCCGTTGTAATGAAATCAAAATGACGATTAATTTATAATATTTGTGTAATATTTTGAATATTCTTGTGCCTCTAATAATAAATTAGAAAAAATTTTTTTTTTTTCTTGTATTTTGTTTTGTCTATGTGTTTATATAAAATAATTTTACTTAATTTCCATTATAATTTACATATTATATATATATGTATATGTATATAAAAATTGCGTTAAATCACGTACATACGAATTTGCATATTATTGAAAATCAAAAAAAAAAAAATCAGGTAGCGATTTTAGGACAGTTTATAAAAAACAGTATAAGAACAACAACAACAAAAAAAAAAAAACAAATAAATTAAAGGTCATATAAAATGCATATTACAAGCGAAAAAAATTTATTTATAATAATAATATAAAATTTATTATTTCTTTTTTCTGATTCACCCTGTAGTGAAATTATTTTCAATTTAGAACTAATTGCTGTCGTTGAGCTTTGTGTTCCTTTTGTTTGATCAAAACGTTTTCTTTTGTAATTTCATTTTTTTTTGTTTCTTTTTGTTATATATTTTTTTTTTGTTATTTTTGAATATATAACGGGACATTTTGCGTTTTAATTAAGTTTAAAAAGTATTATCATTTTGTTGTTTTTCATTTTTTAAACATTAATTAAAAAAGTGTAGGCATATTTTCTTTTGATCATGAGTATTTTCATATCATAATCTTTTGAATTATGTTGGCGACAACTGGTCTCAGAATTATACAATAATACATTAAAAAAAAAAAATGATAAATTGTAGGTATAATGTTCTAAAAAGTTAACAAAAAAAACAACAAAATTAAAAAAAATATTCAAAAATTTTCACTATATAAATTATAAAAAAAAGTATAATGGTGTGTTCTAAGAGGATTGTGTTATTATATTTTAAGCATAACTTACATAAATAATTATTACATTATGTAAACGTGTAATATTTTCGTGTAAACATTTATATAATACATATCTATATTATAGGGTAATAATAATGTGATTAAATGTTTTTATATGTATAAAAATACATATATACATATATAAATAATTTATAACAGTTTTTAGATTCTGTTATATTTGGAACCAGTTTAAATTAAATATAAATGAAAGTTATAATTAAAAATGACAATTTTATTTCATAAAAATTTGTAAAATATCTAATTTGAGAATATTTTATGAATTCAAATAAAATATTTGAAAAATAATTGAATTTTTTTGGTAATTAAATAGTCGAAACAGAAGTATATTGAAAATTTTGATGTGATTTCAATGTAGATTTAAATTATTGAAAAACAGGGTTTTTATGTTTTTACGGAAAATTGACAGTAAAAATTATTAACTTTTGTTGGTTTCTTTGTTACAGACACTGTTGATCATAATTAAATGTCCTTGTTTTCTTTAAAAAAAAATCAGGCTTTAAATATGAGCTATGTGAATTGGAATGTGTAATGAATAAAGGATGATAATGAATATTATTGCCATGTTTTTTAATTAAATGATAGTTACTTTTATATTTTCATTTCGATAATGGAAGTATTGATTATTAAATTTAACCTTTTTAAAACCTAGCAATTAATTTCTGTAATTTTAAGGTATGTTATTTGTATTAGACAATAGAAAGGATTACTAAAAATACACAAAGCGCCAACACTAATATATTTCTAAAGTATCAGAGAAACTGCCAAAATGTCGAAAGTGCACTCATAAGTCTCGTTCATGAACATTATCATATTCATTGCTATGTTCATATTGGAAGCTCCGACTAATTGAGGAAACCGGTAGCTACATTTCTCCCTTCTGTAAGCTGATTCGCAGTTCTTATGTTCTTATTTATTTGACAATGGCTGGGGATCCATCATAAAATAAACTTAAACAAAATAAAGCCTAAGTCAGAGGACGCTGTTAAGTCAGAGGCTCCTAAGGGACATACTTTTACTTTGGTCAATTTTAGCGCGATAAGAAAATTTACAATCGAAAATCCCTGTGTGCGAATAATATTATTAGTACTTGAATTTCTAAATTCCCCTTAAAATATTGTCGGGTTTTCATTCTAAGGAAAATTGCCAATTTATTTTAAGAGCAATAGCACATTTTTATTATGTGTTCTTGTTTCTGATGTTAATAAATTTATATTAACATCAGTTACTTCTAAGACTTATATTGTGATCGATATTACTGATACACTACAATATTCAAAATTATTTGAAATTTTAAGCTACAATCTGGTGTAGAAAATCTACAATCTGGTATAAACGCATAACCGCTGAATAACAGAAAGCTGAAGTGAAGCTGTATATAGTTCAAAGCAAAAGGAAGTTAACTACTGTGAAAGGAAACATAAATGAATTGAACAAATACAATGAATTTGAAGTTTTGAGTTTCTATGACAATTGAAAATATTCAATTATCAAAAATGTGTCAAAAATTTTAATCTTTAATAAAAATTATTTTCCTTACAAAAAATCTCAATTAAATTTTTTTCTTCTCCTTCTAAAAAAATTCTCTCGTTAATTTGATTTAATAAAATCAAA